AAATTATTTACTTAATTACCTTTATTTAACTTGGCTAATTAAGAGTTAATTTTTACAAAAAAATTCATAATCCTTATTTAAAGTTATGTTTTGACATTAATGTTTTTTAAAATATAAAGTGAAACTTTTTCATATGTAATTTTTGAAAAAAATATAATGACTTTCCTTATGTTTTGATAAATTTACATGGACCTTCAATTTGTTTTCAAAACCAACATTTTAGTAAAACTTTTAAAACATTCCATTAAATATCTAAAATACTTAATTTTTATTTTTTGTATTGCAAATAAGTGTCCTCCTATTGAAGGCTATCCTTTTTAAGACATAATAGGGCACTAAATGGAAAAAGCAATTTGTGAAATAATTTTTTATTTTTAATTATATTAAAAATTTAAAAATTATTAACTTGCCCTTACAATTTAATTGTCTACTCTCTCTCTCTCCTCCCTTAATTTAAAGAACTTGAAATAATTAACTATATATGATGCTATATTTGATTTACACAAAAACCAAGAGGCAAGTGTTTGGGTCACAAATGTAAATATTAGTTAATAAAGGTCGGTCCCATAGAGAATCAAGTCAAATGGAAAATAGGTATTAAATTCTCAATTTCATTTAAGTTAAGCATGAAAAATTGTAGTGATGAATGATTTGATTTAAAAATAAAAATATAAAATTGGTAACCGAGATTTTGAAGAACTCTAAATTCAAGAAAACATTAGGAAAGCACCATAGAATTTTAATCCCTCATTTTCTCTCTTTCACTCAACTTATTGATTAAATTAATTTTAATTTCAGTTTTAAGAGTTGGGACGCTTGAATTAATTTTGAATATCTTCCTATTAACCAAAATTTTACTTAAGTCTAACTCAACAATTCTTTGCTAAAATTAGATTAAGAGCATTAAGTTTAAATTCCTTGTAACTACGTAGGTCCTTTAGGTACATTCACATCCTAAAGGTAAATTAACTATAATTAATCCTCAGCATCATAGTTCCAATGGCCCAAAAAGAAATTCATTTTTCAAGTTCATTCTATTCAACCTAAGGTAAACTGGAATAAAAACATAAAGGGTTAATGAGTAAACAGGACCTTGAACTATTACTTAAAAATCGCCCTAGATCCTGAACTCTTAAAATATGCAAAATAAACCCTAAACTTTTAAATTTATAGCAAAATAAACCTTGACCGTTAATTTTTTAATACCGTTACTGTCCACCTAGGTACTATTCAGGGTCTATTTTTCTACGAATTTAACTCTGACTATTACAGTACCCGTATGGAACAGTCAGGGTTTATTTCACCATGAATTTAAAAGTTTAAGGTTTATTTTATATATTTTAAGAGTTTAGGATTCAGGGCAATTTTTGAGTAAGAGTTCAGGGTCCTATTTGCTTATTAATCCAAACATAAAACATATATCAATCACAAAGTAATTGATAACTCAAAATACAAACAGAGTAAATGACTTTAAAGCACTCTAGAGTATTAAAGTTTAGCCACACATAGCTATAAGAAACATCAAAATAGAAAAACAGAGGTCAAAGTTTGGATACATAGAAGAACGAAGAAGGAAAGTAATGAAAAACTCAATGAAAATGTGAATGGCGATAAGTTCTCTTCCCAAGCTCCAAAATTGCCTTAAACTCTCCAAAATTGCCTTAAAAACTTCAGAGACATCCCATAACAAAGTCTAGGTCGAAAAACCCTAGCTTTCCTCTGTAATTTGACTGAAAAAAGGGGTTATGTATCTTGACAGTGAAAATTTCCATGACAATCACCATGGCAAGTTCCTATTCTAGTGCTTGTATGAGAGCTTTGCTGTAAGAATTTGCTGTGGTATCTTTCTCTTCAAAAATTTTCTTCACTTTGAAATCCTTCCATGCTTCATTCCATTTCCTCTCAAGGTCATCTAAAATAATGCAAACAAAATAAACAACTAAAAACACATGAAAAGATAAAAGAAAGACAAAAAACAACTATTTACAACATAATTAAATACATTGTGAACCAATTACCAAATAAAAGAGAAAAATGAAGAAAAAGGAATACAATAACTTTGAAATCCGCTCAGAAATAACCTTGAAAATACCAAAATATAAAGAGTTATCAATATTTAAATAATTTAAAAATATTGTGTCCAAAAGTAAAGTAAAACTATAAAAAAATTCTTAGCAAATAATTTATAAATTGTTATTTTTTTCCTATAAATTTATTTATAAATTCCCAGAGTTCAATTCTAAAAATAATAAAATTATGTACAAATCAATTGTAAATTATGGAAGGTTTGTGGTTCTCAGAAGTCAGAAGTTTAGTTGAAAAAGTGAAAACCATATATGAGAATTATTTGAATCTCGAAGGAATGTATATATAGACAAAGTCCATAAAAATTTCTATCTTATAATAATTAAGAAATTATTATCTTGAATCTTCTACATAACTGACATTCTGGTCAGCGGTCAGTTCATGCTTGCATCGAGAATTATGGCGATAGACTTGGGAGTACGTTAAAAAAAAAAAAAAAAACTCAAATAAACAAAGCATTTATATAAAAATAGTGGTTAAAATAAATTAAGTTTCAAAAATGTTTTTCCTTCAAGACTTTCAATTTGATCTAATTGAAGGAACTATCCCAACTTGATTTTTAATTTCTCCATACACAAGATATGGGTGCTTAACATTTTTTAAAGGGAAATCAATTTTTTTTTTGTTCCACCTGATCACTGCTAGTTATTGCTGTTAATATTAATATTAATGTTAAGTGTATAGCGCAGGAAGATTCCATTTCTCATAGAGAACTTGGTCAAATGAAGTTTTTATATTTGCATCTAGGGGTGAAAATAAGCTTTCACCAAATAGGCTTAAGCTTGAATGGTAAGTTAACTTTTCTTTTTTTTCCCTGCCACTCAACCCTGAGCATAAAGATTGGCCTAACCAAAAAGGTTATTTAAAACCTTATTTAAAAGTAAGTTTTTTAAGTAAGCGTACAAATTAATTTTGAACATCTCAAATATATTTTAAAACTATTAAAATCTATACTTATATAATATGATTTATTAATTTTAATATATAATAATTAAGATGTCTTACCAACTATAATATAACAATAAAGTAATAGTATTAAAATCAATATATATATATCTAATCTGATTTAAAATATAATTTAAAATAAAAAAGAATATATTAATTAAAAATCAACTGATGGGTCTATAATTTATTATATAATGATATATATAAATAGGCTAGCTTGTTACACTTATAGGTTAGGTTTTGTAAAAATAGACTTGATTTATTTAACTAAATAAATTTAATCAAAAGTGTAAACTTAGCCTCAATCTATTTAGTAAATAGGCTAATCTGGGTATGAAATAAGTTAGGCAGTAAGCTCTTGATATGAATCTGGCCTATTTTCACTATTAAGTTATGTTGTCATATATATATATATATATATATATAAATTTGAGAAGAATTTAATTTTAAGCAAATTAAAAACCAATTTTCCGTTTTCAACATTTGCTGCCCAGGAATATATTATCGTTTACCAACTATTTGAAAATTGAGGGCAGTATGCCTATGCAAGTAATTTTGTTTTATATACACACATACATACATAAACATGTGTAATGATCATGTATACATGCATACAGCATACAAATATTCATTAGCATGCATATGTATGTATGTATGTGCATCTGTTTGTATATGCATGTATTCCATATTCAATATTCTAATTAGAAAGTTCAAACGGACAATCAAAATTCAAACAATTGTTTTCATCACATGCAGGTCAATGCTAAAATTTCCGTCGATTGTTTTCTGCTTGCTTTGCTGTGAAAGAGATGGTCAGCGAACAATGGTGCAGTGAACGATAACGAAAGAAGTAAAGCAAATAATTCTTTTTCTTAATATCTTGAAATTTTATTAGCAAACAGCATACATAGATTTGTTTTGGGGAAACCCCAGTTTCAATCAAAGTATCTTAATCTACGCGTTCTAAAAATATTTATGTTTATTTTATTATTAGAGAAAGGGAGTTAAAAACAAATATATATCAAAACCAATATATTAAATAAAATTTGTAGAAATTCATATTATCTATAAACCATTACAAGTATGTCAGAAATTTTATTCAAAGTCCAGGACGGGCTTCTAATTTTAAATAAACTTTATTATTTATAAACTGTTAAAAAGGTGACGCAAATATTGGACCATTTTTTTTTTTTTTTTCGGCCAACGTATATATTAGACTATTCAAAACAAAGTAAACTATAATTTCAAAGGAAGTTACACAGATTCTTCTTAAATTCTATTAAAAACATATATATATATATATATATAGATTTCTTTTCTTATACTCAACATTCATATAAAGAAAAGCTCCTGTGAAACTACCATGAAATTGTACGAGCTTATTTAAAATTTTGTTCAAACGTTTGAGTGCTGTGTATAAAAATTAAAGTATGAAGGGACATGTACAACTCATATGGAAGTATTGTCCCATAAATATAAAATACAAGTCAACTTGTAAAATTTGATTTGATAAGGTCAGGTACATATTTTAGCCAATAGGGTCATCCTCTCTCTATATCATCAGAGCAACAAAGTAGCCAATAAAGGTTGGTCATAATAATAAGAATTTGGTCTAGAATATATAAGATAATGTGATCAAATTCTGATATTGATGTGATTAGAAATTTATTGATAGGTGATTTGTAAATGTTTTTATAAATATTTTTTAAACTTAAAAGCATGTTTTGGCTCTCGTGAATCCTTAAGACCAATGATCACATGCTTCTTAAAGAAAAAAAATAAATAAATAAAGAAAGAGAGAAAAGAAAAGAAAAGAGCCAAAAAGAAAGAAAGTAAAAACAAATATTGATCATCATAAGTATGGGTTATCGTACATTATTCTGATATTGTCTATTATACATAAATTAAAGAGGAAAAAGGGGAAATCCCAAGCCAGCAAAACTCAATATTCTCAGAGGCGAGGAAGAAATATGGATCAGCTTGAAATTTCTGTGGAAGAAAATGAATTAGGAAGTTGGAGAGAGAGATGCAACAGAAGAATCGAAAGCCCGAAAGCAAGAGAGTTTTCGAATAGTCATCATCAAGATCAACTCTCTGAATCAATACTACTGCAACAACAGACATCTTCTGATGAAAATATCGGTGTGATATTTTTTGAATTTCAAGAGGCTGTTCAAAATAGCAACGATGATCAGTTCGTTAATGTGTTGGACCAGATGTTATCATCAACGACTACGCTACGTTTGTCTGCTATATTCAATCGAGTCTCTCCCTCAGGTGACTCACTGCTTCACGATGCTGCTTATTTTGGAAGAGAAAAATTGCAGAAATCATCAGTCATTACTTTCCCGGGCTACTCACCAAGAAAAACATCTATGGAGATACCCCACTTCATGTTGCTGCAAGATCAAACAGTTCACTTCTAATTGAAATCATCCTCTCTGAATATAACAGAACAGCATCAGAGAATGATAATGATGATGATGATGAAAAGAGTATAACGAGAATAACCAATGAGTATGGGAATACAGCTTTGCATGAAGCAGTATGTCGCAACAATCTTCAAGGGGCTGCTATCCTTTTTTATGCAGATAAGCATGTGGTTCATTATTTGAATAACTCAGGTGTTTCTCCCTTGTATTTGGCTGTTCAGAGTTCAAATGAGGAATTAGTTAATCTTTGGTTGGAAGAAGATCTATCTCCGGACAATATTTCTCTCACAAGGAGCCATGGAATCTCTCCACTTCATGCTGCCATATCCACAAAAAATACAGGTAAAATTATATATGAACTTCCATAAGTCACTTGTTTTTGTTGGATGTCAAGTGAGTTGGCTTGGCTAGGTATGAGGAAAAAAGTCCCACATTGATTGTAGTTAGGTTGGAGTAGAGTTATATAAATGAAAAAGTCTTTACAGTTCAATTCTCAAAATATGATGTCATACTCACTTATATATGTTTTTTTGAAACTGTTGGGCAACCCAGCTGTATTCTCCCCTTTTTGAGATGGTCCTTGCGCTCAACACCAGCAGTTTTGTCTTGCTTCGAAATTTCATGAACTACTTTATTCACCAATAAGATGATTTTCCAACTGTCAGCTTGATTTTCTCTGAGCTGTCATAATTTAATTAATTGCAGATTTATTGAAACTGATGGTGGAGAAAGAATCATATCTAAATCTAATGAACCTAAGAGATGAACATGGAGGAACTCCAATGCATTTTGCAGCTTTAACGGGTTATGTGGAAGGCGTTCGCATACTCTTGGAGAAATCTACTCTAACAGCACAAGAATATGATATGAAGGGTCAACTTCCGATTCATCTTGCTTCTAAACAAGGTCATGTTGAGGTGGTCAAGGAATTCTGTGAAAGAAAAAAAAAGATTTCTCTTAGAGGTTTGATTAACAAGAAGGGTCAAAACATTCTTCATGTCGCAGCAAAGCATGGACAAGAAGACGTGGTAAAATATCTTCTAAGAAACGCATCAAGGCTTGTTGAGCGACTTGATGTAAACAAGAAAGACAAAAATGGGAACACTCCATTGCATTTGGGTGTAGAAAACTTGCATTATTCGACCGTACTGAGTCTCACACTAGATAAAAGGACTGAGGTGAATCTTACGAATAATGAAGGTTTAACAGCTAGAGATATTGTTTTGTTGAAAAGAGGAGTCCAAAGAGGAGTTGTGCAGGTATGGTTTATACATACTTACGTTTCCAATACAATAAACTATCAACAATGCCACACTCACATGAAGTAGCTTATGTACGTCATCAGGACCATATGTTTAAATCGTGTTCAAATGACAATTACTTCCTAGCTAGATACGAAGTTGTTCATATTATGCAGAATCATGATTGATAAGAAGATCGTAGTTAGCTTCAATCCTTGCTAAACTGCATGAAAGAAAAACAATTTAAAGCGCGCGCGCACTAACACTTGGCCATGGGTATATAGGCATTTTTTTTTTTTTTTTTTTTGCGCATGATAATATGCATCTGTTATATCTTTCTGTAACTTTTAGAGAAATATACTTGTCACTTGCACTGGATAACACCTCTATGCAGAGAAGCGAAGTTACTCGAGCCCAGTTCTTAGTTCACAGAAGTACGCAAGGAAAGATAAGAGAAAGTCTTACTACTTGCCTTTGTAATAATATTCAGGAGAGAGGGAGGGAGGGAGGGGGAGAGAGAGTACAGTTTCACTATAGCCTCATGTATATAACTCCCAGTCATTCCCCCTTGGTCGTTTTGAACGTGCATGTGGTTAATAAAACTGTCCCCACACTTTTTTAAATACAAGGGGAAAACTGCAGTTAAGAACCCAGACATATTGCACATAAAGACCCTAAAGTGATTAATATCTAGAAACTGGGCTCGGATTTTGGACTAAGAATGGATAACCCCCCACTTTCAATTACTTGTGGAATCATTAGCTCCGAACCACGATAGACTGCATGAAAGAAAACAAATGCTTAGACTAAGATGATACGCACCCAACCACTATACTAGCACATGATAATACACATCTGTTATATCGATTTTCCAATTCCTTGTAGTATATTATTTTTTCATTTCTTGTTTCTTTGTATAGGAGATGACAAACTTGGTCTTGAAATTTTCTGGTGCGAAACCAAGTGATAAAGCAAAAGGTTTGCTTAAACGTCGAGGAACGTTCAAAGCAGATGTGATGAAGAATAAAATGGACACACTAATGATAGTGGCCATATTGATAGTAATAGTGACATTCATGGCTGGTTTTACAGTACCTGGTGGTGTGTATAGCTCAGACGACCCAAATCCACATAATAGAGGGACAGCAATTTTGGCTCATAAACCAATGTTCAAGATATTTGCTCTTTTCAACATGGTAGCTCTGTACAGCTCCATATTTGGATCTTTTTTTCTCTTGTGGGCACAGATTGCTAAATTTTCTCCTTCAAGGGCCTTCACTTCTGCACTTTTCATGGTGGGTTTAGCTTTATTATCAATGACACTGTCATTCATGGCTGCTTTAAGTCTAGTTGCGACCCATGCCCCATGGATCTCATCTCTCACAATATTCATTGGAATCAGTTCCTTCTGTGCCATATTAATATGGTCAAATGCGAGTTGGAGTATTATACTTGTATCCATCATATCTAGTTATCGTGATGAGATTTTTAAGATTTTCTTGTCTGTTATAGCTTCTCTTTCAGCTGTTACCTTGCTGGCTATCGTAGTTTCAGGTCCCATTATGTTGTTGTTGTATCTTGGTCACGTGGTAAACTAAGTGTTGAAGATCCCTATCTAATGCTTAGTTGTAGTTTTTGTCAACTTTTGGAGTGCCGTGTGCGTACTTGTGGGTAATTATGTAATTTTTGGCGACAAAGGGAAGTGACTTGGGCTTTTGTTTGACTCTTGTAATCTTCGTATATACATACATGTGTGTAAATGTTGTGAAATATAATGTAACAATTCATTTGATAAGGCACAATTAATCTACTTTATTGTTCTCATAAGATGGAAAAGAAATTAAAGATGTCGCAAGTGTGTGGCTTGGATCTTAGGTCATGTTTCGTGAGAAGATATATCAAGTTATTTTTTAAGGAAATGGTAAGGAAGAGGGAAAGGCTTTTATAAAAATGTTTTTTATAAGCCAAAGATGTGTTTGGTAGTTAAGAAGAAAATCAAGAACTTTCTTGTTTTGGCTATTAGGAGCTTGTTATAATATAAATTCTCTTTATTTAAATGCCTAAATTGAGTTTTCAAAGACGACTAGCAGGAAATGCTAGATCTCTACTATGGTGGTATTTTAATTAAAAAAATAGAAGTATAATATTATATACTCCCTCCACTCAAAAATTAAGGTATTTTTTAATCAAATCTCACTTTCAATAAAGTAATTAATTGTTTTTATAGATATCTTTACATATTTATCCTTATTTACTAAAGTGTTTCACTCTAAAATAAGTACAAAGTGATTTATTCGTTAGGAACACTTTTGAAAAAAAAAATAATGATTACATTTTAAAATATTAAAAATGCCTTACATTTATGAATATTCAATCCCTCAAAAAATGCTCTTATATTTTTTAATCACGGAGTAATATAATTATTATTATTAGTAAAAATATAAAAAATAATATATTTTATATGACTAAAAATAATTATTTATACTGTATATTATTGTTAGTATTTTTTAAAAGTTCTCAAATATTTTATAATTTTCAAATATTTTTATAATAATTAAAATATCAAAACTATTATTTTGAAAAATAAATGATAAGTCAAGCTAGAGTTTATATTGAACAAGAAGGGGTAAAATAGTAAAAAAAGTATATATTGGAATCAATTTAGAGTCATCTAACTGATTTTTAAAAATATAAAAAATAAAAGTAAAAACAAAAAAGGGCAATTGGATCATTATTTAAGGGGGAAAACTTGCTTTGGAACATGAGAAGGGAGAGTTGATAGTATTCAAGTTTAATTATTTCTTCTTTTTGAGATGAGGAAAAAAGAAAAAACAAGTTCTTTAGGGAGACGGGGGAGAGAGTCGTTCTCTCTGGATAGTGGGGTTTTTTATTAACCCTTTATTCTATCTTGTCTGTTAGCGTGGCTGTGGAGTTGCATAGAAGACATGAAAAATCTGCAGATCTTGATTTGGTTGTGGAAACACAAGGCTAAAGGAAGAAAGTGTTGAATGATGCATCAAAGCCACGTATTACATGCTGTTACACGTGCTACTAGTTTCAATATTTTTAGGAGTAGTGGGTTTATTTTTTTATTTATTCATTGTTGATATTTATCCTACTTTCAGTTGAGTAAGTCAAAGATATTTTAGATATCCACTATTATTTAGTTCCCCTTTTTTTTTTTTGGTATTTTCAGTTATGAGTGAATGACTCTATATTTTGCATATCTGATGAATAAAATTATCATCAAGTCAGTTTTATGATTTCCATTACCTGTTAGAATCTTTTATCCAATAATTTTTGGTGTCAGAGCATCAGAGAGTGAGTCAACTTTCTGACGTAAACCAAAAAGAGAGACGGCACTGCAACACCTGGGGAGTGAGAGAAGAGCGATAAATACCGAGAGTTTAAATTCCATGAGCAAGCTACGAGAGCACTGTAGCTTCTACTTTGTTTCTTTTCACTCACTCTCTATTTCAGGTTCGATTGTGAATAGGGTGATCTTTCGCTTTTGCAACTCTGTTCAACGTGACGACAATCTGTGGCAAACCACAGCAGCTTCGCAAGTGATGGGGTTTCTACAACTCCTCAATCGTTGATTCCTATTTTCAATGAGGATAAGTATGAGTTCTGGTCTATCAAGATGAAGACCCTCTTCCAATCTCAAGACCTATGGGACTTGGTTGATGATGGTTTCGCAGACTCAGATGTGGACCAATACCGTTTGAAGGAGAATAAGAGGCGGGATGCTAATGCTCTATTTTTCCTTCAGCAAGCCGTACATGACAACCTCTTCTCTAGAATCACTTCTATAGTGACTTCTAAAGATGCATGGCAGATTTTGATGGCTAAAGTTCAGGGCTCTGACAAGGTAATCTCTGTAAAACTCCAATCACTTGTGAATTCGAGAATTGCAAACGCAAAAGTCTTGTGGAGAAAAATTTACTAATGAAACTATAGTTGCAAAAATTTTGTGAACTCTTACCCCTTGATTTAACTTTGTTGTTGCTGCAATTGAGGAGGCTCATGATATGTCTAAATATTCTTTGATGAACTAATGAGCTCATTGCAAGCTCACAAGGACAGGATGAATCAACCCCAGGAAAAACCTAAAGAGCAGGCATTTCAAGCGAAGGGGGAGTCTTTCTCCACAGGTAGAGGAAATGGTAGAGGTGGATTTCATGGTAGAGGCAGAGGCCACTGTCAATATAATGAGCTGACGCAATCAAATATTCAAACTCTCAAAAGAGCTCCCTTCAATGCCATTATTGGAAGAAATTTGGGCAAAAGGAATTAGACTGTCGGTCAAAGCAGAGAGGTGGAAAAAAAGCTTGCTGATTTTACAGAGGCGGAAGAGGCGGAAACCTTGTTTATGTCTTATACAACAGTAGAAGAAGCTAAATTAGTGCTTGTGGCACATTTTCCTAACACTCAACCTTTAAAGAATGTTGGGTTCATTGACAACGGATGTTCCAATCATTATGACCGGTTCAAATTCATTGTTTGAAGAACTAGATGCATCACATAAATCTAATGTTCGACTTGGAGATGATAAGCAAGTTTAAGTTAGAGGTAGAGGTACGATTGCTGTCCACAATGATGATAGTAAAAAGAAACTCTTGAATAATGTTTTGCTTGTGCCTAGTTTGGCTAATAATCTACTGAGTGTGGGACAAATGATGGAAAATGGCTTTATAATCATATTTGCTGATTATCATTGTGTTATTTATGATAACAAGTCTAGTGAACTGGTTGCAAAAGTTAACGACTAAATGTTATATTGTGTATAAGGGTGATCCAAATTAAGAGTCAAAATGCTATATGCAAGTAGAGATTGAAGTTGAAGAAAAGGAGGATTTACACTACAACATCCCTTAATAATGCTACAGCATGATGAATAGTGATTGTGACAATAGTTTACGCTGCAGCATAACCCAATTATACCACAGTGTAAGCGCTAGTTAATGAAACACACAAGTTTGTGAAAAATTGATATTTTTAGGATTCTAAATGTTTTGCCTCATCATTCTTCGACTTTGATCAGCTCCAAAAGCTAGAAACTAACGAGGGAAGAGAGGAAAATGCCATGGTTCAAGCCGAGAAGCTTGGGTTTCATGAGAGATTAGTTATTATCATCCAAAATGCCATGGTTTAATGTCTATTTGATGCTTGGCCAACATTAAATGTGATTTTGGGTTTTGGAATTTTTTCTTGACAAAGGGAAGTCTCATTTGGACCATTAAATTGAGTAATATGGTATTAGATTTTATCTTGTAATTAGGATAGACTTATACCTAATTGCCCTGTATAATCATTGTGGAGTGTCCTTGGTGAGTATCGCCTCTTGGATAATTGTGTTAAACATAACATAATTAATTTAAGAGAGAGTTATTAATAGATTGAAAGACCCTAATAAATATTAAAACTCTTGATTGAAAAAGCTAGTGTTGAAATCAATCAATTAGGTTAAAATGGAGTCTAAGAAGTTAATAGAGGATTAGTGACTCTAGGTTGCTTTGTACTCAACTAGTTGTTAGATTTAAGCATTTTGTTGCGTTTTTATTAAATTCAATTTTAATTTTGGTTAATCAATCATTTCCAATTAGTTTTGCTTAACATAAAGAAATGTGGGAACTTTGTTGCCTAGTTGCTATTTTACTTGATTCATCGTGGGATCGACTTTAACACAACTTTATATTGCATATTGACCAATACATTTGCGATGATACAACTTTATGTGCATCACTTGCTTCTCGCATATTTAATATTGACATGGCTCTAGTATGTGTTTTCTATTTGATTATAACTTACATGACAATTCTAGAATACTTATTTTTTACTTGAAAATTATCTAGATATTATATTTTGATTGTGAATCTCAAGATGATTTTACTTTTGTTAGGTAATAGATTTCTTCTTTTAATCATGGTAGACTATTATAACTCTAGTTTGGTCTTTTCTACCTTGATTAACTTTTAGCAAATGGGTTTCAATCTTTTCTACCATGATAGATATATGCTTTTTTTTTTATTAAGGTCCAATTTTGCCCTTATACTTTTTTTTAGAAGTGTCACAGTGATAGTGGCTTAGACTCCAAAATAGCTATGTTAGCACTAATATAGTACTAGTTGCAACTTAGGTCATTTTTCACTAAGGAGGCTAACTAAGGCTAATTAAGGATAAATTAGTAAACTAAACTAATCAAGTATTGATTGACTTTAACTAATTAAACTAAATAGGCAGATTTAATTAAAAACCTAATTAACTCATAAAATGGAAATGTGAGTGTTTAAACCTTTTTAAAGTGGAGTCTTAGGAGTTATGAGAGACTAGATTCCTTATCTATTCTTTTTAATTAGGTTTATGTTAATTTCCACTCTCTTAACTGAATTAAACCCCCTACACAATTTTGTATAATTGTGCTTTCCTAACTAATTCAATTAACTAAATCCTTACATGATTTTGTACAAGTCCCCAATCAATTTCTTAGCTAAGTGCAAAGTGATAAAAAATTTTCCTTCGGTTTCCTTAGTGTAGCTTGGCCTTAGGTAGGCCAAATGCACAATTTTACACATAAAATATTTTATCAAACACCAAACAATATTTATGCCTAGCCAAACTAATATTGATACCTAGCCAATGTAAGACACATTCAACTTACATAAATCATATATTTATATGAATTACAATGTATTGGAGAAATTTTTTAGCAATTACATAAAGGGAAATCAAGTGGAAAAACATTAAACCAACAAGTCAAATACCAATTTTGGTCAATAAGAATAAAATATAATAATGCTCCTAATTTTAAGAATAAGATTACATAAACCTAGGTTTAATAGAGAGTGGTCATGACCTTCATCCTTCTTAAGACACTTCAAGACTTCTCTAGCATCTTTCTCTCCTAGCACTCCTTGTAGATTTAGCCTCTAGTTATTTTGGAATTGTAACATCCTAAATTTCAATCCTACAAGCTAGTTGCTAATTAGGGGTGAATTAGTAATTAGGGAATTGATTGTGATTTAGATGTTAAGTTGATTTTTTTTGTTGTTTGGGTATTGCATTGATAGGATTGAAGGGTAGAGCAACAATTCAAGACAGAATGTGCGAGCACAAGTGAGAATTCTCTCACTGTACCACACGCTGCGGTGCACCGTCCAGAAATCACTTAAAGCTGATATGATCAGCTCGTGAAATCAGAAGGGAGAGAGCTGGAGATGCATCTGAAGTGCAAGAGGAAGCCACCTCTGCTAGGGCAAGCCATAGTTGGAACTTGGGAGTCTGCTTCAATTGATAACTTGCTGGGTAAGTATCGTGCAATCCCAAGCTTCAATTCTACCCTTTTTTTATAGAATTTGATCAGTTGAGAAATTGAGTCATGAGATTTTGAGGTGTTATTATCTAAAAGAAAAGGTTAAAATGGGATATTGAATACAAAATTAAGGTTTTGTGACTAGTATAGAGTTGAATGATTGAAATTTAAACATTTGAGCTCAAAAGAACCTAAAAGTTAGGTTAATAGTGAGATTCTGGGTGAATGAATGGAGTAGAAGGTTGTTATGGTTGATTGAGTAGCCTATAGGGCTAATGACTATGAATAATGGATAAATGAATTAAAAAGGGTTCAATTGAACTATTTGATGTGTTAAAGGATTTGGTTTAACCAAATTAATACCTATGAAATATGTTGGAAATTGATTGAAGGGCACTGTATTATGTAGATTGAGTGCCTGTGGACTTGCTTGTGAGAATCTATGCCCCTAAAAGCCTAGTGTGATTGATAACCCTTAGTAGTAAGGGTTAAAGGTAACTGGAGTAACTCTTTTACTTATTTGTTTGTGAAATTATTTGCACGTATTTTGATATAACTATGTATACTGAATTGTGAATTGATAAAGAGTAGTATTGTGAAAGTTTATGCATGCAGATGTGTGAGTATTGATTGAAATGAATTTCAGAAGTGATACATGCACTGACATGCATCGCATTCGTGAGGTATACCCTAAATTATGGTAGGAGAAATGCGACTATACCATAAGGAGGTCCAGAAAGTCCTGATGATCTAAAGTGTAGAGCTTGACTCCACCAGGAGGACCTAGGAGAAGAAATCCTAATGATCTAGAACGTAGAGCTTGATTTCGCCACGACGGACCTAAGATACTGAATGATCTATGAGGTTACCCTAGACTAGGGTAGAGGGCCGTGGTCCTACTCTATATAAGGCTAGGAAGTCCTGACGGTCCAGAGTGTAGAGCTTGACTTCACCATGACAAACCTAGGAGACCACCCATACAAAAATGACCTGGTCTAAGCAGTTGTATGATGGGCCCTGTTCCTTGTGACTAGATGGTCTAGTTCGGGTGTAGAGTTTACTTTGTTAGGGGAAATTAGGAATGCATTGCATGAGCATAACAAGATTGATGAGAATGAATTCCTGTATATGCATATGTTATTGCTTTTATCATTACACATACTACTTTATTGCTTGTTTATGATTTTGCTTACTAACCGATAATTAGGGTTACCTCTGAGTTATTGGGACGTATGTCTCATTTTATTACTTTTGAACACAAGTGAAGAGAGCATGAGAAGGCCAAGAAAAGAAGCGAGAAAAGAGTAGCCTCGATTGGTAGTGGTATAACTACCTTTGAGTAAAAATGAATGTGTAATGACCTTAAAATTTCATATATATATATATATATATATTCTCTCAATTTATATTTTATTTAAATTAGTTTTTTGATAAATAAAAAGTGGTAATTTAGTGAAACTTATGCTAATAGTTTATTTGAAGGTCCAGAGTTTGAATTCTTTTGAACAATAGGTTAAATTTTATTAGTTTAAAATTTTGGGAAAAATTACAAAAAGGGCCATTTCTCTTATATTATTAAGAAAAAAATGCTGTGCCTCTTTTGTAATTTTTGCAATTTCCTAATGTCTAAGCTTTTATTATCCCATCTCTCGGTCAGACCACGCACGAAAAAAAAAACAAAACAGAGACTTCTGGATCCTTCAACACAAGGGTTCTATCGATGCTATCTCCCTCTGCTCTTCTTTGATTTCTCCGGTGAGTTTCCAATGTCGTGCTGCCGGTCAAGCCTTCCCCTTTAGTCTGAAAATTTTCCTTTTCTTTTCTTCTCTTTTTGGTGGTGCATAGCGTTCTGGTCAGAGGAAGCTGGAGGATTTTGGCTAGATGTTTCGAATCTTCATCCAGCTCTTCCGTCCTCTGTCACTGTCTTCATCTCGTTCTTCTTCTTTTTCATCATCCTGCAGCGTGTAGCTGGTGACCGTGGAGGAGTTCATAACTGTTGCTGTCTTCCTCATCTTTTTCCTGCTTTTATTTTCGTTCTGGCGATGTTCGTGTCCGAGGAGCTGAGTAGTTAGAGCTGGAGGATCTATTTGTAAGTCACTTTGGTTCTTGGTTGGTTGTTGTGGCTGTATTCCTCCCCCTCTCTGATGCATCGTGTTCGGAATTTCCCTCCCCTGTTTAGCTTAAGGTGCGATTTCTTCTTCCTTTCGCTGGCTTTGTTCGGAAATTTCTGGTACAAGAACTTCAAGTCTTCTCCATATTTATTTTCGTGCGAGCGGGTGTGTGAGTTGATGAATTGAGTTGCAAAAATTTTCTCCTCTGCTGCTGCTGCTGAACGTGACTGGTTGTATATATGTGTATGAAGGAAAAGCTTGATTAAAGATGAAATTTGTGGTCGTATAAGAGGAGGAGATGATGGAGTGGGTTTGAATTTTTATTGAAATTCATTATAACATTGCTATCGAAAATTTTAAGGAAGTGATACTGAGGAAGAAGAGATTAATATGAGCTTAAATATTGATACCCATAAATTGTTTGATTAAATGCTCGTTTGGAGAGTTTTTGCTTGACTGTGTATTTTCTAAATTTCTAATGATTGAGGCAAAAAGGATGATTGATTCAAATGTTATTTAGTAGAGTTTTAATTTGAGCATTGCAAAGGAGTTTATCTAAGAAATTATTGAGGTCTTATTTGAGTTTTGAATTGTTGGGAATTATAAAATTGAAAGGTTATAAAGTACATTATTATTTTGGAGGTTATATTTGAATGTTTGGAAATGGTTGGGTAATAGAATTAAAAGTTTCGTGTTTTATTGAATGGTTTGGAATGTCGCACATTAAATGTTTGGTAAAAAGCTTAAGAGAAAAAAAAATTTATGAATGAATTGTGTTCTTAAAAATTCAAAATTATTATTGTTAATTTTAGTTGAGTAGGTGCTCTCGAAATGGGGTCTTGTTGGTTTTAAAAAAAAATAAAGCCTGTTAAAATATTATTATATATTATATATTATAGGATGTTTGGAAGGAGGGAAGCTCAAATGGAGTCATAAGGAATGAGTTTGGAGCCTTGAGGATACTACAGGTAAGTGGATAGCGTCCCAACTGATTTTTTTCAATCGAAATTTCCTTTACTAAAATACTACGTTTTTCTGGAAATCATTTTAATAGCATTAATGCGGTTATGGGATATTTGTTGATTAACATTTCTTTATTTTGAGAAATTAGCTTTACAAAATTTGAAATGTTATTTGATCAATCAAGTCAAGTTTGAACTTTGATTATGAGATTTTTATTTTATCAAATATTGAATTGATACAGAGAATGATTCATGCGAGTTCGACATTGAAAATTTTTCTTTATTCAATAAATGCAAGCATGAGCATCGGATATGAAATTTAATTCTGGCAAGTTTTAATGTTTAAAGGTATTCATGCGAGTTTGATTTTGAGGATGAGAACTGTATCTTAAAAGTGATGATTTTCTCGCATGTTTGAAAATGGTTTTAAAAAGGGACTTTATATAGAACACTGGTTGCTAACGGCAGTTCCGTTAGCCCTTGGCGCGCCATGGTACACCTAGCTAGCAGGGTGTGTATAGGAGGTGCTAGCCCCGTGCGATGGCCAACGCACGTGGAACAGAGGGATGGTTATTCGTGAGCATCGTACTCACGTTTGTTTCGTAGCTTCGGCTGCGTTTGATTACATACCCTCGTGGACTATGTGTCCACGTTTGATTCGTGGCTTCGGCTGCGTTTGGTTATTTGCTCTCGTGGACTATGTGTTCATGTTTGTTTTCGTGGCAAGAGCCACGTTTGGTTATTTGCCCTCGTGGACTATGCGTCCACGTTTGTTAATTGTTCTGATAAGTCCCTATAATATGAATTTGATAATTTGGTAATTTTACATCCCATTGATTTTAATTAGTAAATTATTTATAATTATTGATTTTGTTTATTTGCTTCATTGCAATCAAGTGATAACATTATTTAATATGAGATTTTAATGGTTCGAGATTTTATTTAAACATTTTATAAAATCATTTTATTTTGAAATTTATTCAACTTTTATAAAGATCGTCGCTTCTTTAATTTACATAATTGTTTAAATTTTTTTATGTTTAATTATTTATTGTTGGGACGTTATTCACTGGAAAAATATTTTTGGTCTCAGATAGCGTAGCGGACCGTGTACCTCCATTAGATCCTTAAGGGCATTTTGCTTCTGGACTGAAGTTGAGACACCATTTTGGTTAATTTTTATTTTGATGTAAATTTATAATTCATATATCGTATTTTTACAAATAATGTTTTAGGTGCTCCACATAGATTATAGTTAGAGTCCTAATTCTGTATTGTGCTATTTGATTGTTGTGGAGGAGAGGAGTTCTCTTTTGCTGAGTTGATGTCATAGATTGTGATGGAATATTTTTTGAGGCTCTATGTTTTCGGGGAGGTTTTGTTAAACATTTTTACAAAAAGTTTAAAAATATTTTATTAAAAAAAATTGTTACAATGATTTTCTATCCTATTTTAAATGAATTAAAATATTATATTAAAGTTTTTTTAATTAAGGCTTAAGGGATATATGTTTATACATATATCTCGTGCCGGTCACGTCTAATTTTTAGGGCGTGACAGATTGGTATCAGAGCCTAGGTTTTTTTTTTAGCTATGTGGAGCAAGGACACTTCAATGGGGTCTCAATTATTATTATGAACCCGGGCATAATCATAATTGAAACATTATTGAAGGCCTTATAGAGGGTCTTTGAATGTGGTCCCTTTCCTTCTTGCTGACTCCTCTTGATATATAGTTTTGTATTTTGAGCTGAACATTTCCTCTATCTCTTCGAATACTAAGAAAATGTTGACTAGACATTGAGTATTAAGTAGAAGGACATGAAATAGGGGAGATTTTCATAGAGCTTGAACCCAACCTAGTGATATATCCTTATTCTTGAAGCTCAAGTTCTTTTATATTTTATAATTTTTGTTAAGCTTAAAGATCTTTGTGTTCTCATTTTAAAGAGAAGTTAGACCCAAGATCACAAGTGCCGTGGGGGACATGATTGAAGTAGTAGAACTCTAACACTCTTAGTAGGTGCTTCATCTCAAAGTGTTGAAGGATCCCTCCTCAATTCTGTAAAAAAATAATAATAATAAAAATAAAAAATACAATCTCTACTTAAGAAAGAAAGGATACAAGGCTTGTGTAGCAATTACTTCAATTCATATTTAGAAGAAAAACTCTATATATATTGAATAATTTGTGTCATGGGTTAATTTGGTATATTCCAAGTTTTATGTCATTATTAGTTAGATTGGTGAAAGAAACATTTAAACTATGAGTAGATATGTGTTAAGAAAAGGTAATATTATGTTTAGCGCTCACAAGACTTGTGCTATTTGATTTTAGTGTTACTTGTTATTATATGCTTTAGTATTATGATAGCAATTCCTGTTAGTGAGATGTTGGTGATTGGTCAAGGGTATGAATCTTTTACCATTGAGTGAAGGTGAATGACTTCTTGATAACTTCACATGAGTGTCAATAAGGTTTATTTGATGAAATTATCGTAAAGGATGTTTGAATAAGAATTATGAAGGTCAATTGAACCATCATTATGAGAAATTCATAATTTTAAAATATCAACCTTTAGGATGAAAACAAGACATGAAGAACAAAGTGTTGAAATTTAAACTTCTGACTCATAATGAGGGTTCAAATGAGTTTGTTGGGGTTAAATAAGGCATATATGATTTGAGAATAATATTTGGAATCCAAGTAATGAGAAACTTTAATTATGGCTTAAAGTGGAACATGGAAGCTCATATGGTTTGATATGAATTATATATAACTTAATGTGTGTTAATATAAGTCAAGTGGTCATTTTGAGAACTAAATTTACATGTTGTATAAGTGGTGAAAAATATGGTTATGATGAAGAATCTCAAAAGAGTGCAAGTTCAATTATTTGAGCCTTTAAAACAAAATCAAATGAGCAGTAAATGATATGATTGCAATTGAAGGCCTTAAAGGTCGGTTTTTGGTATGAAATTTGGTACGCAATTATAGAATGTTTTAAAATTTTGAAATTGGTTTTAAAAGTTGTTATGAAATAGCTCTACAGCTTTGATATTAGATTTGATATTTTATGATTTTCTTTGGATTAAATGGGCTCTAATGATTTTGAAATCATAACAATAGATAATGCATGAATATATCTTTCTAAAGAGCCATATTTTTCGTGAATTGGATGTTTCTAGTTGAAGTTATGATCATCTAAAGTTTGGGATCAATTATGTGTTCATAATATGTTAAAATTAGGTGCAAAGAGATTAAGTTTTATTGTTTTTTTTTCTATTATACATGGTGGTTACTGGTGAGATGTGTTAAGCATTCTAAGTGGATTGGAATGACCTTTTTTAGCAGTGAATGGTGGGAGACAAGCATTTTATTTTTGTACTTGAGCTATGCAAAAAAAAAATTAGGATTATTTAGCTGAAGCAATTAGAAGGATTAGAGATCTATATTAATAAGCATATCTACAATATCTCTCTTTGTTATAAGGGAATTAAGAGGAATTTAGGATTCTATTTCTTCTTTTATTTCAGGAAAATTTTGTTAAGAAATTCATTTAGCAAATTTTAAATGATTGTGTTGATAAATTAAGGATGTATAAACAAGAGCAAGTGTAGTAATGTCTATGAAAAGGATGAGTGTAATGTTTGCATAAATTATTTGATAAATTTATGATACAATGTATAGGTGAATTTGTTGTTGATTAGAATAGAACATTAAAAGACAGTAGCAAAATAGGTATACTTTAAATAGAGGTTATCATAAGGGGTAGAATTAACTCAATACGTATCAATTATTCCTCAAAAGTCAATAAAGGTGTATCAAGATTTATAAAACAAATAAACTATTTGTATTGTGGGATAGTTTGAGAAAAGGTATAATGGACTTTATCTCATGATTATTTTATGTGCAAGTTAAGGGAAAGCATTAGAAATTGATATGGGGGCATCAATGATTAGAAGAGTTTGTAAAGTTGCACATAGTTCCATTATCTTAGTTGCAGAACAAGCACTCTAATTTACTTTGTGCCTTTAGAAAGCCTTACAAGAGACTTTGGGTGCTATCATAAACTAATGATCTATATGAAGGGATAGTTCGAATTTTAAACATTAGGCCAAGATCTTGTATTTTGAACTTTGGGTCAAAAAAAAAATTAAGATAACTGCTAACTTCATTGTAAAGTGCTTACAATAATAATTATCAAATTAATATTTAATATTTGAGGAGTTGTAAGATGAATGATGAAGAATTTTAATTGAATGGTTTGATATTACTTAAGAAGTTAGAGACAAGATCTGGTGCAAGATGCTATTAAGAAGGTGAAAGTAATTAGATAATGACGGGTAATAGCCTAGAGTTGATAGAAGTCTTTTATTGATAATAGATGTTGGAAGTTAGAGTTTATGGTCAGAGACAAAGTATATTCGAAGATGTCTTCCATGAAAGGAGTAAGGAGAATTGAGGACAAAGGCAAGTTGAGATTGAGATATATTAGCTCCTTTGAGATCTTAGTGAAAGTTAGTGTCGTCACGTATTGATTGGCATTGCCACCTGAACTATTGAGCATTAGTCTGATGTTTCATGTATTAATATTACAAAACGTGTATATATATATATATATATACATGTATAACTTTTTTTTTTCATGTTTCGATACTCAAAAGGATATAGATAGATCTAGTTTTATCATATGAAGGAATCCTTATGACTATTTTTAATAGATAAATAAAGAAGTTACATGGAAAGTCAGAAGTGATATGTTTGTTAAGTATTTGCATTTATCCAAAAACTAAGGTAAGCATTCATTAAAATTTGGGAGACCAAATTTTTAAAGGGAGAGAGAATGTAATGACCTTAAAATTTCATATATATATATATATATATATATTCTCTCAATTTATATTTTATTTAAATTAGTTTTTTGATAAATGAAAAGTGGTAATTTAGTGAAACTTATGCTAATAGTTTATTTGAAGGTTTTGAATTCTTTTGAACAATAGATTAAATTTTATTAGTTTAAAATTTTGGGAAAAATTACAAAAAGGGCCGTTTCTCTTATATTATTAAGAAAAAAATGCTGTGCCTCTTTTGTAATTTTTGCAATTTCCTAATGTCTGAGCTTTTATTATCCCATCTCTCGGTCAGACCACGCACGAAAAAAAAACAAAACAGAGACTTCTGGATCCTTCAACACAAGGGTTCTATCGATGCTATCTCCCTCTGCTCTTCCTTGATTTCTCCGGTGAGTTTCCAATGTCGTGCTGCCGGTCAAGCCTTCCCCTTTAGTCTGAAAATTTTCCTTTTCTTTTCTTCTCTTTTTGGTGGTGCATAGCGTTCTGGTCAGAGGAAGCTGGAGGATTTTGGCTAGATGTTTCGAATCTTCATCCAGCTCTTCCATCCTCTGTCACTGTCTTCATCTCGTTCTTCTTCTTTTTCATCATCCTGCAGTGTGTAGCTGGTGACCGTGGAGGAGTTCATAACTGTTGCTGTCTTCCTCATCTTTTTCCTGCTTTTATTTTCGTTCTGGCGTTGTTGGTGTCCGAGGAGCTGAGTAGTTAGAGCTGAAGGATCTATTTGTAAGTCACTTTGGTTCTTGGTTGGTTGTTGTGGCTGTATTCCTCCCCCTCTCTGATGCATCGTGTTCGGAATTTCCCTCCCCTGTTTAGCTTAAGGTGCGATTTCTTCTTCCTTTTGCTGGCTTTGTTCGGAAATTTCTGGTACAAGAACTTCAAGTCTTCTCCATATTTATTTTCATGCGAGCGGGTGTGTGAGTTGATGAATTGAGTTGCAAAAATTTTCTCCTCTGCTGCTGCTGCTGAACGTGACTGGTTGTATATATGTGTATGAAGGAAAAGCTTGATTAAAGATGAAATTTGTGGTCGTATAAGAGGAGGAGATGATGGAGTGGGTTTGAATTTTTATTGAAATTCATTATAACATTGCTATCGAAAATTTTAAGGAAGTGATACTGAGGAAGAAGAGATTAATATGAGCTTAAATATTGATACCCATAAATTGTTTGATTAAATGCTCGTTTGGAGAGTTTTTGCTTGACTGTGTATTTTCTAAATTTCTAATGATTGAGGCAAAAAGGATGATTGATTCAAATGTTATTTAGTAGAGTTTTAATTTGAGCATTGCAAAGGAGTTTATCTAAGAAATTATTGAGGTCTTATTTGAGTTTTGAATTGTTGGGAGTTACAAAATTGAAAGGTTATAAAGTACATTATCATTTTGGAGGTTATATTTGAATGTTTGGAAATGGTTGGGTAATAGAATTAAAAGTTTCGTGTTTTATTGAATGGTTTGGAATGTCGCACATTAAATGTTTGGTAAAAAGCTTAAGAGAAAAAAAAATTTATGAATGAATTGTGTTCTTAAAAATTCAAAATTATTATTGTTAATTTTAGTTGAGTAGGTGCTCTCGAAATGGGGTCTTGTTGGTTTTAAAAAAAAATAAAGCCTGTTAAAATATTATTATATATTATATATTATAGGATGTTTGGAAGGAGGGAAGCTCAAATGGAGTCATAAGGAATGAGTTTGGAGCCTTGAGGATACTACAGGTAAGTGGATAGCATCCCAACTGATTTTTTTTCAATCGAAATTTTCTTTACTAAAATACTACGTTTTTCTGGAAATCATTTTAATAGCACTAATGCGATTATGGGATATTTATTGATTAACATTTCTTTATTTTGAGAAATTAGCTTTACAAAATTTGAAATGTTATTTGATCAATCAAGTCAATTTTAAACTTTGATTATGAGATTTTTATTTTATTAAATATTGAATTGATATAGAGAATGATTCATGCGAGTTCGACGTTGAAAATTTTTCTTTATTCAATAAATGCAAGCATGAGCATCGGATATGAAATTTAATTCTGGCAAGTTTTAATGTTTAAAAGTATTCATGCGAGTTTGATTTTGAGGATGAGAACTGTATCTTAAAAGTGATGATTTTCTCGCATGTTTGAAAATGGTTTTAAAAAGGGACTTTATATAGAACACTGGTTGCTAACGGCAGTTCCGTTAGCCCTTGGCGCGTCATGGTACACCTAGCTAGCAGGGTGTGTATAGGAGGTGCTAGCCCCGTGCGATGGCCAACGCACGTGGAACGGAGGGATGGTTATTCGTGAGCATCGTACTCACGTTTGTTTCGTAGCTTCGGCTGCGTTTGATTACATACCCTCGTGGACTATGTGTCTACGTTTGATTCATGGCTTCGGCTGCGTTTGGTTATTTGCTCTCGTGGACTATGTGTTCACGTTTGTTTTCGTGGCAAGAGCCACGTTTGATTATTTGCCCTCGTGGACTATGCGTCCACGTTTGTTAATTGTTCTGATAAGTCCCTATAATATGAATTTGATAATTTGGTAATTTTACATCCCATTGATTTTAATTAGTAAATTATTTATAATTATTGATTTTGTTTATTTGCTTCATTGCAATCAAGTGATAACATTATTTAATATGAGATTTTAATGGTTCGAGATTTTATTTAAACATTTTATAAAATCGTTTTATTTTGAAATTTATTCAACTTTTATAAAGATCGTCGCTTCTTTAACTTACATAATTGTTTAAATTTTTTTATGTTTAATTATTTATTGTTGGGACGTTATTCACTGGAAAAATATTTTTGGTCTCAGATAGCGTAGCGGACCGTGTACCTCCATTAGATCCTTAAGGGCATTTTGCTTCTGGACTGAAGTTGAGACACCATTTTGGTTAATTTTTATTTTGATGTAAATTTATAATTCATATATCATATTTTTACAAATAATGTTTTAGGTGCTCCACATAGATTATAGTTAGAGTCCTAATTCTGTATTGTGCTATTTGATTGTTGTGGAGGAGAGGAGTTCTCTTTTGCTGAGTTGATGTCATAGATTGTGATGGAATATTTTTTGAGGCTCTATGTTTTCGGGGAGGTTTTGTTAAACATTTTTACAAAAAGTTTAAAAATATTTTATTAAAAAAAATTGTTACAATGATTTTCTATCCTATTTTAAATGAATTAAAATATTATGTTAAAGTTTCTTTAATTAAGGCTTAAGGGATATATGTTTATGCATATATCTCGTGCCGGTCACGTCTAATTTTTAGGACGTGACAGAATGTATAATGTGTTGATAGAATTTGAGTTGCTAACTAGGATGTATAAATGTATGTGAACTTGAGAAAGTAAATTATGATATAGACCTTGCTTGTATATATATATATATATATATATGATATTGCATTATACCAAGGGTGCCCTAGTAGAGGGTACATAGATAGGTCTAAATGCGAGACAAGCAAGTGTATGATGTTGTAACTTGTTCCACTAGTGTATATATATGTGTCGATTGTGATTGATTATATGAATTGAATATGTGTTGTGTTGTGAGATGGGAACTTGACACAAATGGTATGAATTTGACACAAATGGTGAGGTGGAGCCCTTTTTAGAAGAGTCAAGTACATTTTTAATTCCCAACCATATGGTGAGGCGAAGCCTTATATGTAAGAGTCAAAAGGTTGAAAGTGAAATAAGTCTAGTTATATATGTGATTATGTGTTGTAAATTTGTTTTTCTCATATAAGATCACAAGTTTGTAATGTGGCTTTAAGAGGCCAAAATGGGCTATTGATGTGATATATGTGTATTGTGATGTTAATCAGGTGTATGTAGTCCTTTTGGACTTGTTCAAGGCCCGAAGTGGTCTAATGGGATAAGGAATGAAAAATGAGCACTTAGGGTGTGAGTTTTTGAAAGAAAAAGTAACTTTTTATACCCGAGTCTTTAATTTTAGATTAGACCGTTAGATTGAGTCTAAATTGTTCTATTAGCTAGTATACATCACAAGCTTCGTGTGGGCGCTTGAATTACTTCAATCGAATGTCAGGTGTGAAAATGGCGAACGTCGAAAGTTCATCATTTTTGTTGTCAAAATGATGGCAGAATTTTGGATAGGCACGCCACGGCACATGATGTACCCACCGCGATGTATGATGCAGTCAAGAACAGAGCATGTGGTTTTGTGCCACATGCTATGACGCACGTGTTTCGCGACATGATGCATGGCCTATTTTTAGGGTTGAAAATTTATCTTTTCGAGTCCTTTGAATGTGTTTATGCTTCCACTAGCCCTCTTATTTGAATATATGTTTTGATAAGTCGAGATCCCATGATTTTAAAAACAAATAAAGGGCTATTATTCTAATTTTGATTTATTAATTATGTGGTGTGGAATGGTAAAGCACGAGTTGAGATGAGACTTTATAATTCGGACCCAAGGACTTTATAGGAATCCACTTGAGCACAATTCTTCACCATGGCCGAATTGAGCTTTAGGAATGCATTAAAGATTTTAAAGCTAAACCAAGAAACAAAACACTAGGGTTTTTAGGTGTGAGGTGAGAGAAGAAGAATGGTGGATTTCGATGGTGAAATGGGGGGTTATAATAAGGTGGAGAAATGGTGGAAGAGATTTTAAGGTTCATGGGTGTTTTTGGGAGAAAAGATGAAGTTGAATGAATGTAGAAGATGAGTGAAAAAATGTGAATGAGGAGGTTGTTTTAGACTATTTTAGTATGTTTAAGGCTCATTTAGATCAACATAATGGCTTGGAATCATGCCCACCAAGTGCCCTAAAGTGATGCGAGCCTTGTGTGCATCTAAGGGTCCTTTCACATGGCGTTTCATGTAAGGCCATGAATTTTGGGAATGAATTATTTAAATGACAATATATGGAAATGGAAGACAACTAATAATCTGAAAATGGAAGGAGAATTTTAAAAATAACATGATGGGGATGATGGAAAAATGCATAGAAAAAATAAGAAAAAAAGGAATTAATTTTGAAAGATGAAATTGTTATGACTATCCTTGTACTTTCTTAAGATTTCATCAACCATTGGTGACCTTTTGATCATGAAAATAGCTCATCCAAGGCTCCAATTTCATGCAAGGGGGCTACCACCATCATCCAAAAGCTTCTCATGGCCTAAACCACACAATGATCTCATTAAATAGCAAGTTGTGCATAAATAATTCTCTGTGTCTCATAAATTTATCCAACTTAGGTTTAAATTATGAAAATGTAGTGAAGTAAATTAAAGTGATTAAATAGAAGTTTAAGAGATGAATTTAGTTATGAGAAGTTTCCTAGGAGTTCTTGATTACAAAAACTAAACCTAGTATAGTTCCAAAGTTCATGAAAATTATAATTAAAGTACAAAAGGTTTATACTTTAAAGGATGTTTTAGTGAATAACTCACAATCTAAGTTGAATTAACTCAAATTAAACTCATGAGATTAATGAAGAACTAAGAATTAGCAAATGATGAATTTTTATATTTTTCTAAATTAATTTTTGAAAATTACAATTTAACTCTAAACTTTTAAAAATTTTCTCTTTAGCCCCAAATTTTTAGAAATTACAAAATTAGCCTAGGTGATCTAAAATGCTTCTAATATGCACCAAATAGTCCTAAGATGTGTCAAAAGCTTGAAAAAGTGATATGAAAATGATATAACAAATGATAGTTATTAGAGTGCTAAGCACTCTACACTCTTAAGTGAAGCAATTTTTCTCTTGGAAAATTTAGTGGCCCGAGAAAAATTCATTTAGTGGCCAGGGAAACCATGAAGCAAAACAAGGAGATTGACAGCCTCAGCTTCAAAGACCTTTATAAGCAGAATTGGGCATTTATTATGAAGTTATGCTGGAATTTGATAACAAATCTAGAGGCTTTTTGGGTCAAATGCCTTAGAATGAAGTATACATATGGAGAAAGGGGCCTTCCAAAGGTTGTAAAGAAAAAGAAGGCATTGGTGGTCTGGAATAGCATTGTCTTAGTTTGGGATACCTTTATGAAAGGAGTGGGAAAGAAAGTCAATAATGGTAAAACTATAAGATTTTAGTGGGACTTGTGGACTCCATTCCAAGAACCACTTGTGCAATATGCATCACAAAATATTTCTTTGCTAAATAGAGAGACAACTGTAAATCATTTTGTTCTATCCAGTAGTGATTGGAATGTTGAGGAATGGACTTAGTACTTTCCTAATTGGGTGATTCAGAAAATTATAATCGTGAACTAGCCATGTGAGGGAAGGAAGGACTTGTTTATTTGGAGATCATCCTCAGATGGATGATTTAGTGTGAAGGCAGCATATAACTACCTAGAAAATTCCAATACCACACTATGGGAACCTATTTGGAAGAAAATGTGGCACTGGCTAGTCTCTAAAAAAGTGAAACACTTCTTTTGGTAGATTTTTTATGAGAGACTTTCCACGAACCTACTCAAAGCAAAACATGGTTTATCACTTAATGAATGTTGTCCTTTTGAGTGTGATAGAGAGGAGAACATAATACATATCCTCTGAGAGAGTATGAGATTGCTAGAGAAGTTTTGCTTTCCTTAATCAACCCTATATATTTGTCTTATTTTCTTTCTTGTAACTTGTAGGAATGGCTAAAATATAACTCATAGCATGAATTAGGTAGAGCTGACCATCAATAATGGCCTTGGATAAAAAATTTTTACTCTATGTGTTGGATGCTATGGAAGAATTGATGCAAGAAAGCTATGTAAGTAAAACTTCTTAATGCATATGAAATTGTTCAAAGCATCAAGTTTCATCTGATGGAAACAGAGGAAAATTGAAAATTCAAATATAAAATTTTTCAGAAGATGGAAGGCTTGCAGGAGAAATAGAGACATCCCCTGACTGGTTATTATAGGCTTGATACAGATGGATCTATCAATCAAGAGGGATATGCTACTTGTGGAGGGGTTATTAAGAATTCAAGTGGAGATTGGATTATAGGATTCTAAAAACAACTTTGGGTTTCTTACCACCTACAGTTGCTGGACTTCAGAGTCTCATAGAAGGATTGAGAATTAGTAAATAATATAATTTTATTCAGATTTACTGTCATGTTAACTGCATAACTTTGATTCAACTTTTACAATAGGGATATGTGCCGGATCATCCACTTAGGCAAGAGATACATGAAGCTAGACAGTTCCTATATTTAGTTGAAGACATACATGTTCAATACTCTAATAGAGAGACCAATTGTGTGATAAACTATCTTGCACAAAAAGTACAGAATGTGATTGATTGCTTTGTCCTTTTGAATACACCCCCACCAGGTTGTCTTGGTTTCTATAATCTAGATAGAAATGTGTAATCTGTTTAGTTTTTTTTTCCTCTAGAGCTAGGAATTTCCAAGCCTAGGCTTGTCTTGTAATTTCAAAAAAAAAAATATTCCCCTTGAAGTATTTTTTTCAAGGTCTAAAAATGCCCTTCTGTTAGAAGATAGTTAACTTTGTTGTCATTTGCTAAGGTGGCATGTGCATAAGGTCCACATACAGTGATAGGTAAGACTTTAATCATGTCCTTTAGTGCTAATTTACCCCTAAACTTTTTTTTTAGGAGTGTTGAGCACCCTAAAATCTTTTTCTAATAGCACTGGATTCCTTGAAGTCTTATTAAAATAAAATTTAATAAATATTTCCAAAATATTAAATATTTTCATATTTAATAATTTGAATATTATTATTTATAAATATTCATTCAAAATTTATAAATTTCTTTTTAAATATTAACAACTCAAACTAGCATTTTATAAATTTATGGATGACTTTGTATTTCTTATATATCGATCTTTGATCTTTGCTCTGAGACAGTGCTCAAATTGTTAAGCCTTTCATACGTGTCAAAACTTATTTATATGTTTTATATTGGTTAATTTCCTTAAAGTTTTAGGTCATCTTTTGTAATTTCTTTTGTCAACTAATGATCTTCCTCTAAACTATTACACTATCTAAATTTAATACTCTCTGTATGTTGCAGTGTTAAGAGTAAAATTAGAAATATGACAAATCAAGACCAATAATAGGACAACACAAATGTTTATTTGAAAGATATCACTTATTCAATTAATGTGCCACAAAAGGTTACTTAACAAGAAAAAATGGAGAGATGAGAAGGAAACATTTATTTGTTAACTTGGAGGTCCATTCCCTTTGTTTTTAATACAAAATCACAAAATATCAAAAATATTAAATTATTAAATTAGGTGGTGTAATGTTTTAAATAATAATATTTAAATTATTAAATACTAAAATACTTAATATTTTAAAAATATTTATTAAATTTTATTTTGACAAAATCTTCAATGTAGCTAATGCTTCTAGAAAAAGACTTTAGGGTGTTCAGCACTTCTAGAAAAAAAGTTCAAGGGCAAATTAGCACAAAAGAACATAGTCAAAGTCTTATGTGTCACTATGTGTGGACCTATGTACATGCCACGTCAGCATAAAATGAAAAAATTAATGGTTGACTAATAGAAGAAATTTTTTTCTCTATGAAAAAAATAGTTTAGGAGTATAATTACTCTACTTAAAGGTATAGGATGCCAAGCACTCCTAAAAAATAAGTACAGGGATAAAATTAGACCTTAACCCTATTTTTTTATTTTACCATGCTAGATTTTATGGTCATTTTTAGGAGGGTGTTATAATAGCATCCTCTCCTATAAATGTGAATGAAAAATTGAGAGGTGAAGATGGTACTAAAGCTGTAAATGCAAGGCAATACAAAAGTATGTTGGTGGCTTAAATTATTTATGTAATATAAAGCATGATATTGTAAATTTTGAGTATAGTTTCCATGTTTATGCATAATCCCACCAAACACCATCTTTGAGTTTTAAAAATGATCATTCATTATATTTTAAATTATTTGGCAGGTTTTATTGATGATAGAAGGAGCACTTCAGGATATGCCTTTTCCATCTTGGATTAGGTGTTATTTCTTGGAGCTCAAACAAGCAAAATACTGTGGCTTTGTCATCTTTTGAAGTAGAGTATGCAGCAATAGCAACATCTGCTTATCAAGTTGTTTCGCTAAGAAGATTATTAGCATATTTTCTTCTACCACAAGAAAGTACAATGGAGATTCACTGTGTCTTGCCGTTATGACTTTTTTGACTCTTACTCTATTAGTCTATCATGTCTCCTTATTCTATAATATATATAGATTAGGGTTTTTAAACTTCCTCTTATGAGCCAACGGAAAAATTAGATTAAACTTACACTAGTACAAAATATAATTTTAACTACATATTTTTTGCCACAATTTATAGGAAAACTATGGTAAAATAAGTTATAGTGGCAAAAATGTAAATAAGGTGAAAAATGTAAGATTTATGGCCACAGACATACAATCCACCTGTTGCCGTAAATGATTTGATAAGCCATTAAACAAATAACATAATTAAAATAAATCATTAATTCAATTTTTAAATTTAAATTATTAAGAAATACAAAGTTGTATGAAATATATATATATTTAACGTGTTTCAATTTGAAATTTAGACGTATAAATTTTAGTTATTTTTAAAACTAAGATTATTTTAATTTTTATAAATATTTTATTATAAATATATATGTAAATTTAATTTGTCTGATTTCAAGCATAATAAATATGCCTGAAATCAGAAACCTAACGCCTGTCGCCGTAAGTTTTATAAAATCTCTAAATACATCCAAAACACATAGGCCCTAATGTTGTCTAGATTATATATATATATATATATATATTCAAATACAATGCCTAAACAAATCATGAAAATAAATGTTATAAACTATTTATAAGTTATAAATAAAAGAATTCATTTGTTCGCAAGTATTCACTTAAGATAAAGTACTTCCAATTAGCTTAATATAATTGTAAGTATTATCTTAAATTTAGCCTAGAGAAGGATGATATATATATATATATATATACACACATATGTAAAAGCATATGGCTTATGATTGATTGAGTTAGTAGTTAATTAATTCATTAAACTAACTCTTCCAATATGATTGAGCCACTAATATCATTTCCCTTAACAATTCTAGTTAGATTGAGAGAGATCATGGACAAGAAATAAATATATGCAAATAGAGTCACAAAAGAGTATGTAGATGGGGTGAAGGAGTTCATTAGATTTGCACTAGAGCATGAGGCAAATCATAATAGCATTGTGTGCCCTTATGTAAAGTGTGGCCTATTGAAGTAGGTTAGTGCGACTGAGTTAGAAGACCATTTAGTATGCTTTAAAATTGATCATACTTGTAAATGTTGGCATAAGGACGGTGAATCGAGGGATACAAATGATAGGGGTACAGCAATACATACGTGTCACATGATTTCAAAACAAATATAGATGAGGATAATCATGTTGAAGAGATGGCAAAAGTTATTGAAAAGGAATTTAGGGATTGTCCTGAAATGCTTGAGAGGTTGAAAAATGATGCGGGGATACTTTTATACATCAATTGCACATAATTCTCAAAATTGACCACTGTGTTGAGAATGTTCAACTTGAAAGTGAGAGGTGGGTTGTGTAACATCCTAAATTTCTAATTCTAAAAGTAATTACCAATTAAGGATAAATTAGTAAATTAGTTGGTGATTGGGATTCTAGATGGTAAATTGATATTTTGACTTCCTGAGATGTTGAATGAATAGGAACTAAATGAAGAACGACATTTCGAAGCGAAGCGTGTGAGCATGATGGGATTTTCCCTTAATGTGCGACATACCATGGCATATGCAATATGCATCGTGGCACATGGCATAGAAAATTGGTTAATAGCAACATGTTTAACTCATAGAATCATAAGGGAGGAGAAGAGGAATGCGCACAAGAAAGGGAGAGAGAAGGCCAACCTCTGTGAGGGCTTTGATTTCTAGAAGCTTAGGAGACATTTTAGACCGGTCACTTACTGGGTAAGTTTAGTGTTGCCCTAAGCTCTAATTCAACCTAAATTTCAGTTAGCTTAAGTTATAGAGAAATTGAATCGTGAAGTTTTAAGGGGTTTATTTCTTACCCTTTAGTAATAAAAAGATTCTTGAAAATTAAACTAAGGTTTTTGTGACTAATTTGGGAATTAATAGTTAAGCTTTTAAGAAATAGGCTTAAATTAGCCCTAATTGATAAGTAGAAAATAGAAGAAAATTTGGTATAAGGTGTGTTGGAACTTGTAGAAGTGATAGAAAGCCTAAAGAGGGTAGTTAAGACCTAGGTTGGTCAAGTGAAAGAAAATGAATAGTTAATTGTAGTTAATAGTGACAATTAGTATTTGTGGTCAATTTATAAATTGACTAATAGTACCAATTTGTGTAGATTGACTTGTTACGTGTGTAATTTGAGGTAGTAGGAGCAAGATGACAATAATTGACTAAGAAACTAATACAGTGACTTTTCTAGTGACAAAAGGGTTAAGATAACTGAATAATTCACTTTATTGATTAACTTGTTTAACTATTTGTGATTAATTATGTAGCATTACATTTATGTGTTTTGAAGTTGTGCATGTTGTGAAATGAGCATATTGTGCATGGAAAATGATTTTAAGAAAAATGAATTTGTGAAAATGTATGTATATATATAAGGCTTGAATTACAAGCACTGGTTTGTATATAAAATGTGAGCACGATCATATTAAGGGTGGAAGCTCACCTATAGGAAGAAGTAGTAAAAGACAATATGACATGTATTCTTGTGAGTGCTCGAATGGTACAGTTTTGAAGAATTCTTCTCCTTAGTTGATAGGAATTAGTCGCTTATCCTCAAAATTAAACTAAAGCTAAACCTAATGCAATATAGGGTAAACCCTAGGTTGTCTCCCAAGTAGTGGTTCTAGATTAATCTAAAGTTACCTAATGCAATAAGTTACCCAAAGTTGGAAGTTGATTACCTAATTACTAAACTAGTTACATAATTGGAAAATAATTAAAATGCTAGCTAAATTGAGTGAAATGAACTTTTCCTTTTTCAAAAGAGTGGAATTCTATAGATTATCTTTATATGATTAGGCTAAATTAAGCTTCCCTTTCCTTTTGACTAAAGCTGTCTTGATCTAAGAAGACTATCCTAAACCAATTAACCTAATTAACTAATTTCTCTAAGTCTAAGATTAAAGTCTAGTTCAATTAACCAATTGGTGCAAAAATTAACTAAGTGAATCACTCAAATTCTCCTCTCAAATGCCATGGCCAAAGCAATAAAGTAAGCAACCATAATATTATGTCAAGCTACTTAACAACACAAGTATTAATATCACAAGATTATGCAACATCAATACATATAATTTACTAAATAAAAAACACAAGGTTATGTGATAAACACGAAGTGGCCAAAATCACCAAGGTAGAAAAAGGAAGAAATTAACTAACTCAATCCTCTTCTATTTACACTAAGATCAAATTCAAATTAAAATTTACAAGCAAAGATGATTAAACTTTGGACTAAGATGTCAAATCATCTAGTAAAAAGAGAAGAGAATAGAAAACAAAAGAAACTTAGCCAATTGAAGCTCTAGATTCATCTTCCATCTTTATCTCTTTAGGAATCCACCAAAAAACTTAACCAACCATCTTTATCTTTAAGAACCCTAGTAGAAGCACCTCTTGGCCAAAA